GGAACAGCAATCACACTCACAGCCACATAGCTTGATGGTGCCTATTCCTATAGGGACCGAGCAGGTAAAATCTTTCCCATTATCGGTTCCCATGCAGTTCAGTTTTCTTCAGTGACTCATCATGGATGTCTTTTGCTTTAATTTCCATGTACATAAAATTCAATTTGTCTTGCGTCTTCGTCAAAAATTTTAAGCCTGACATTTAGCTGTCTTCTTAACACAGTATCAGATACGCTAATTACTGGTTATTCTATAACGAGTGTTGTTTTTTCCCGATTGAAAGAGGAATTGTATTAATTTATAAAACAAAAAATGTACAGAGGCTACAAGCTAAGGGAGAAAAACTCAAGACAGAAACCAAAGGAACATCAAAAAGTGTTTGTTTTTAGTATTCAGATATATGCACACGAGAAAATAGAGAATAAATCAAGATAAAGAAAAAGTCAAATCATACTTTATGCATGCTTTCGTGTGGTTGACTTATTCTACACATGCTTATGTCTGATCTAGCGATTTTTTAACTGAATAAATAGGAGCAAGACAGTGGACTTCAACTGGTGCACCTGCTATTAGCCTGTGCTGAGGCAGTGGCCAAAGAAGAATACATGTTGGCAAGAAGGTACTTGCACCATCTGAATCGTGTAGTAACACCTCTTGGTGACTCCATGCAACGAGTCGCGTCCTGTTTCACCGAAGCCTTGAGCGCAAGACTCGCAGCCACTCTCACCACCAAATCCATCATCAACTCCTCCAACCCTAAGCCATCCTTCTCTGGTTTCCCGCAACACTCCATAGAAATCCTCAAGATATACCAAATCGTCTACCAAGCTTGCCCTTACATCAAATTCGCCCACTTCACCGCAAACCAAGCAATCTTCGAAGCATTCGAGGCCGAAGAGAGAGTGCACATAATCGACCTAGACATCCTCCAAGGTTACCAATGGCCCGCGTTCATGCAAGCACTAGCAGCCCGACCCAGTGGAGCCCCGTTTCTGCGAATAACTGGCGTCGGGCCCAGCATCGAGGCCGTGAGGGAAACGGGCCGGTGCTTGACGGAGCTAGCCCACTCTCTCAACATCCCCTTTGAATTCCACCCGGTGGGCGAGCAACTAGAAGATCTCAAGCCCCACATGTTCAACCGTCGGGTCGGAGAGGCATTGGCGGTGAACTCCGTGAATCGGCTTCACAGGGTCCCAGGAAACTGCATGGGAAATTTACTGGGAATAATAAGGGACCAAGCCCCCAACATCGTAACCCTTGTGGAGCAAGAAGCGAGTCATAACGGACCGTATTTCCTGGGCAGATTTCTGGAGGCACTGCATTATTACTCAGCGATTTTCGATTCTCTGGACGCGACGTTTCCGCCGGAGTCGGCGCAGAGGGCTAAGGTGGAGCAGTATATATTTGCGCCAGAAATAAGGAACATAGTGGCCTGTGAAGGAGCGGAGAGGATCGAGAGGCACGAGAGGTTGGAGAAATGGAGGAAGATAATGGAAGGGAGAGGGTTCAGGGGGGTGCCACTGAGTCCGAACGCGGTGACTCAGTCGAAGATATTGCTGGGTTTGTATTCGTGCGATGGATATAGGTTGACGGAGGACAAAGGTTGCTTGCTACTGGGATGGCAAGACCGAGCCCTAATTGCTGCATCTGCATGGCGATGCTGAGGCTGAGATACAGTACACACATACATGGTGCTCAACTGTGTATTTATTGCATGTGGTTCTTTTCCCTTTTAAGGCTTTAACCAAAAAAACAAAACAAAATTTGTTCATTACTTCATCCTATTTGAAATATAGTAAGACGTATTTTAAAAAATCTCATGTTCTTATATACAAGACATTTGATCTTTTTATATACTAAAATACACTTTTAGAAATATTAAAATTACTTTTTAAAAAGTTTTTTTCCCAACAACAATGATTAATTATTGGCATTGAAATCTACATAGTAGGTAAAAATTATTTTTCCTCATATTTTTACCCTCCTTTTAACGCCACAATATTAAATAGTACTTGTTTGAGTTGAATGAAAGATACTGGAGGGAGACACCAATTAATGCAACCACGCTGAAGTCTTGGTTTGGCAGGAGCGTGTTCATTCATGTAATTAATATCCTATTTAGAGAGTAATGAGTGAAAAAACAAATAATCTTATTTATAAATCACATTATTAAATTTTTATTATAAATTTTTTTTATTCACTCTTAAATGTTGGAGAGAGAAAATATATTATTAAAGTGTATATATTTAATAAAAATAAAATTAAAAATTTATTAAATTTTAATATAGAGTTAATAAATTTTAAAATTTTTTTAATGATGATGAAATATGTTAGAAATAACTTATAAATAAAACTAAAAGAGTAAGTTTCTGTTATGGTGTTACCAGCAGTGTGCTGTGTTCTAGGGACGAATTAATTGAATCACATGGTCGAATTATTTAACAATACTTACAAACCTCATCTTATATATTTAATTAAATCATGACAACTAAATTTTAAGGGGTTAATAATATTAATAATGAGAATTTATTATAAAATAAATAATTAATAAAATATTAATATATCTTAATTTAATTGAAAACAAACATATTAAATATGTAAAGTTAAATATATAATTTTTCCTTATTTTTTGTCTTTTTAGTTCAAGGCTTGTGAATTGGATTTCATTCCTTAAATATAAAGATAACATTAAAAAAAATAAAACACTGTTTCATGCACACCCTCTAACAAGCCAAAATAGGCCATAATGATTTGTCAAATATCAACAAATATTGGCCTCGCTTGAAGGTTCTAGGGTGTTTAATTACAATGTTTAAGGTTCTGGACTTCCGGTCCGCAGGAATATAAACTTGTCCTTGAGTTTGCAGGGAAAAAAAAAAAATCGTTTTTGAAAGAGTTGTCTCTTTAGTCTTCAGATCCCACCCACCTTGAATTCAAATTGGTCGGAAAATAACATAGTTTTAGGTATAAATGGGAAATAGAGAAAAAGGAATAAATTTTTTAGATCTTGAACTATTTAATTGTTGGTCAAAAAAACTTTTTAGTTGACACGTGACAACTACCAAATGATAATTTATTTTTTATAGATATTTATATAATTTTAACCAAATAATAGAAAGAAATCAGGGAACTGAATCTCCTCAGTAGCCAAAATCTCATTAATACACACATCACATGACTATTAAAAATACATATGAATAATTTATTATTAAGGAGTAATATATATATATATATATATATTGAAATATTGTGTTCGATACAAATGGGTCAGGTTTAAATCAGATTTTAAGTAAACATACTTAGTTTATTTATAAAAATAGACCTAATTATAAATTTAAGCATGAACAAATCATGTCAAAATTTAAACAAGATATATCATCTGTTTCTACAACCCTTTTTACTTATTTTAATATAATCAACATTTTTATTAAATAGGCCTGGCCTACAGAGACATATAGCATGTCCTGTTAAAATTCTGATATGGTCTATTTAAAAAAAAAACATGCCTGAATTTATAATTAGCTCTATTTAGATAAATAGGATAAGCCTGTCTATTCAAAATCTAACTCAAGCTTGACCTATTTTTACCTATATGTGATACTTCAAAATGTATTTCTTTACTATTTTTAAATAAATTATTTACATATATTTTTAATAATCATGTGATGTGTGTATTGATGAGATTTTGACCATTTGAATGGTCGAGATTTAGCTACTAAAGAATGCTTAGAATTTTGCCGCTGAGAGGATCCAAATCCAAAAATTAAAGCATTTATTTTTGATGTGATTATATGATATCTAGTAGTCCTATTTGGTTGAACTTGATTGATAAATTTAGTTGATAACATCTTAGCTAACATGATTTTTTTTTATATCCATGGGTTTTTTCTGGCCAACAAAAATATTCTCAATAGTTTTAAATGAAGTCTTTTTTTAAAGGGTTAAAATACATTTTTACTCATATACTTTTCTTTCAAGAATGTTGAGCACCCTGTAATAATAAATAAATCATTTCCTCCCAAACTATTTTTTAGATGAGAAAAAACCCCTGCCGTTTACGGATATTTATAACATTTGAATTTCAGTAAATACAAAATTTGCATAAAGAAATTTGTGATTGACTGTTCCATTTTAGTCATTACCAAAAAAAAATCATTACTTAAATTAAATTAATTATTAATATTTATTTTTATTTTAAACTTTGGGTATTTCAATTATTTTACTAAAAAATATTAATGTTTTAAAGGTTCCTAGAAACTTAAGAAAAAAACATGATATTTAGTGAGATCTTATTATCGTTTACATATTACAGGAGGTTAAAATGTATTTTTAATGAAGAGGAATTTTTACTCCTCTAAAAAAAAAAATCCCACTGATTAATATAGAATATTCAGCATCTTTCGAGAAAAAAATATAGGGATAAAAATATATTTTAAATCTTATTCAAATGCAAGAGTCATAAATTGTGTCTTGAACATAGAAATATGCTCACTCACTCGAGATTACTAATTTCCCGTCATCTCTCCACCTCCTTACCCGTCCTCGACCAAAAACATGTAGACATCTTTTTCACCCTGGCCCTTGGAATCGTAGGCCATGTTCGGATCCTTCTAAAAGCACATCATTAAAGAAACGCACAGGACAGACGCTGTCATCATACCTCGAAAATTGTAGTTTATCCCTATGGAATTATCTTGTATGGTGGCCAGACAAACCATGTAAGCTCTCTGTCCTACATGCTAAGATATCAAAGCGCGAAAATTTCCGGGTCGATGTTCTGACAATGTCTTCCTCAACGCGTAGCATTGTGGACAATGAGATCTGACACCTATCAATACTTTACAAATACTTAACTTTAATCTCAGTGTTGACGTGGAGCGATAATCAGATACTGTCAATAATGGACATCAAGATTTAAGGACCCTTCTTCACATCAGCTTGTATCGTCCACATATGAAAAATAACACACACTTAACCGTCACGTGACTTCAATTCAGTGCTCAAGAAACGGCTATATGTATATAATATTTGATCATTCCATCCCATTAGAGTACCGTTCAACGTACTCACAACAGAGATCATGAACGTTTTTGTATGCTACGTATTGTACAAGACTTTCACAACAAACCCATTTTTTATACAACAAAGAAAACTATCGAAGACAAGTCAGGAATAGCCTCCAACAAACATTTGTCTATCCAGCTACGCATTCCCACGACCTCAGAGAGATCCTAGCATCCACAAGGCAAAACTCAGCAGCTTCACTCTGGATAATGGTCGATTCTCACAATATTGCACACGCACATATGGGTTTTATTGGGAGCTCATCAACATCTTTCTCTGCTCAAACCAAGGAAAGCAAATTTCAACGTTCCAAAGAAAGATAATTATGCATCTACACATTTTAGAAGGAAATGATCCCTGATACTTCGCTTCACCATATTCCCATACTTAATACACACTCATCTTCCATAGTTGATGCTTGCTATACAAGCCAATGACACGAGTGCAGACATAAGGCACTGGTATCTGAAGTAAACATGTCATTCATTGAAAATTAACAGACAATATTGACACGAAATATTTCAGAATGAAGTGTACCTGCTTTTGATCTTGCCAAAGATGGCTGGACGACAACATGCATGGTGATTTCACTAGTAAGCTCACCAAAAGGTGCTCTACATTGACCAACTGTCTTGTTGTTTTCCAAAATTTTTCCAGCATTTATAAGTTTTATGTCATTAGCTGCCTTCGGTATAGTCTTCTTGCCTACGGACGATCAGAACAGATTCAAATTCAGATAGGTTAAAGAAGAGTGTGCGCGTAGATGAAAAGTTGAATACAGAACAGCAAGAAGAAAATAAAATAAATGTTAGCAACGGAACTATGCAATGTCCTACAGCTACAGAATTCAACCATCCACTAAATAGTGATGTAATCCAACCAAACATGGGATTATCTAATTTAATCGCTCTTCAGTAATTTAGTTCAACGTTATTGCTGGAAACAGAATATCATGACCGCATATAGAGTGATGCTGACATGATATATTACAGGGGAAGTAAAATTCAAGCAATCGCAGAGACCTAGCCATCTGAAGACTTCAGGTGTGTGCTGTCAGATAAGATTTTTCATACAAAGATGACAGGGAGAGGAACTTCTCTAAAAGACCCAATCATGTAGTGCTGAGTTATTAAAAAAAAAAAATCACTTTTCATGTTCTAGATAAAACTTGATAAATTGTCTACTAAATTACAGTGTCTAAGGAATGAACCGCATTATTCATAATTTGAGAATACTGCAGCTTACTATAAATTGATCTATTGATAGTTGAACGCGAACAATTAAAAACTATACTTAATTTATTCTATTCTTTTATATTATCTAACTTCTAATAAAGTTCTACACTGAGAGCAGTCTAATCACAGGTTCCTTTCCCACCAGTCTATTATACACATCTCACAAACCCATGCAATCAACCAAAAGACCCCTTTAGGCAAGAACATAATAGACTCAATATCACCAGTCACTAAAGGAGTAAGTTCATAATGTTTTTTTTTTTTTTAAGAGCAAGTTCATACAAAGATACAGCTTAGATTACGATAGCAATTTAAAAGCCATATAATTAATTTCTGACATTAAAAATCCAGCATAAACGTTATAGCCATTCTTCAAAAATCTATCAGTCCGAACCAGTTGATCCTTTGAACTAAGCACTCTATTAGTGAGGAAAAAGTGCTTCATTAAGATCTCACACCACCACAGCTCCTTTCATCATTTGATGCTGATTCCAGTGGCTTCAACATTACACGTTGCTTTTCTTTCTTCTTTTTTTTTCGTCAATAATTAAATACCTCTCGTGCATTATGGGGTGAAGAGAAAAGGAGAGAGAGGGGGGGTTTAAATGATCTCTCTGCATACTTCCATAGTTAAACAACCTGAACTGGTTATGGTATTTTTATTATTTTTTTTCTTATTTCCTTCTCTCAATCATTTTTACTTAAGGAAGAAACTCCAATTAAACTATCCAACAGCATCATAATCCCAAAAAAACACACAAATGCAAAGGCCAGAAAATGAAAAGGGTGAACATACAGCAATATTCCCCTTTAAATCCCTTTCATGCGGATTTGGTCTAAAGACTTCTTTGTAGTGAATTCATCAAAAGTTGTCATTAAATTGAACTTAAAAAGCATTATGTAAACATAATCGATCTAGTCTACCTTCAAGGTTTTCATAAGACACTTAAACATCATCATCTCTCACATAAAACTGGATAAGCTTTGTCATTCAGTGCTACAACATAGGATTATTATAGCTAGCTTGCTTCCTTCCTTATTACACCAAATACAATAACATGATATGCCTTACTCTCTCCAAACCACAATATAAAGCATCTTCTTGAAGCTTCCATGGTACAAAATATAGGGTATTGGTAACTTTTGTAATTATTTTTTCAACTATACTCCTACTTCATTTATCACTCTTTTTAAGGAAAATGATGCATTAAAATTTCAATTGTCATTATTAAGGCACTTATATAGGGTATTTGAGGAGGGTATAATTGAAAATATGTATTTTTTTTAATAATTAAGGTTTCAATTAACATTTTTCGAGAAACGTGAATTAGTTATCAATGTCTTATATCATGGTCCAAAGAGATTACGTATTATACAACAACAACAACAAGCCTTTATCCCACTAGGTGGGATCGGCTACATGGATTGCAAGACGCCATTGTGCTCTATCATTTATCAAGCTTTTAGGAATATTATTAATTAAGAGATCGCGTTCAACAACTTCCAAGAGTGTTTTCTTAGGCCTTCCTCTACCTCTCTTAATCGGACTCAAAGTTATATATTCCATTCTTCTCACTGGTGCCTCCCTTGGTCTTTTTTGTACATGCCCAAACCATCTCAACCGATTTTCTACCATTTTTTCCTCAATAGGTGCCACCCTCACTTTTTCGCGTATGTGCTCATTTCGAATTTTATCTTTACATATATGTCCGCACATCCATCATAACATTCTCATCTCTGCTACTCCAACTTTATACTCTTGCTGTCCCGTTAGAGCCCAACATTCACTATTATATAACATTGCCGGTCTGATAGCAGTGCGATAAAACTTTCCTTTAAGTTTATTAGGCACCTTATGGTCACAAATAACTCCTTTAGCTTTTCTCCAATTAAACCACCCAACTTGAATTCTATGTGAAATATCTTCACTGATTTCGCCATTATTTTGAATAATGGCTCCCAAATATCTAAACTTTTCCATTTGAGATATAATTTGATCTCCCAATTTCACTTCCAAGTTATTGTCGAATAGTCCTTTACCAAATTTACAATATAAATATTCCGTCTTACTTCTACTCAGACGAAAACCTTTCGACTCCAATGTCCTTCTCCATAATTCAAGTTTGCAATTAACCTCTTCTCTTGTCTCTGCTATAAGAACTATATCATCCGCGAAGAGCATACATTTCGGGATTTCCTCAGAAAACATTATAGGATAACATTATTTAATGAACACAAGAAATTAATATGGCAATAAATGTTACATTAAAGCCAATCTAACTTGACAAATTTATCAAAGAAAATTAGAGTGTTCAGGCAAATGAGAACTGATCCAGGTAGTCCTGCAAACTAATTGAATTCAATCCTCAGAAAACAAAATGGAGTTATGGAAAAGATTGCCTTGCCTTGTTGGCAAAGCTCTTGCTCCAGTTCTAGCATCCTAGAATCTAAATTTGCAGGTACAGGGATAAGAACAAGTCAATATTATAAGTATCCACAAGAGTTTGAGGACCAACAGCATTCTATTTAAAAGGATATGTCAAGTACAAATAACTGTCATCTAAAGCAAGAAATGTCATTGTGTATGCTCATCCGGCTTCTTAATTGGCATGCACAAACAACTGAAATACAAATAATTCACCAACCCATCTGCCAATTTAAGAGCAAGGAATGTATAGTTATGCCAAATTCATTCTAGCAACACCTGCATCTTTTCTTAAAAAAGTTACCAGAATGAGATTTGTTCATACGGCTGCCAGGAAATATGATCATGTGGACCTTTGTTCATCAGAAACTGCTAGATTATCATGAACGTAACAGAGCCTTGTAATAAAATGCACTAAGTGTAGGAACATTAACTTTGTTTAAGCCAGACAACTTGGTGCATTTCCTAGCATATTCAATTATCATTCTAACACACTGTTCACGAACATAGAACAATTTACAGATTAAAAGCAAGAGTAGCTGGTAACCTTTTGGCCATTCTGCAACAATTCTTTCCTTCAGCATGGCCACGGTAGAAGCTGGCGGGTAACGGAAGGGCCCAATGTCTGAACCATCAAAGATACGAAACTTAAGCTCCACTAAGTCTTCGTCCGGCATCTGATTTTTTTCAACCAATTCAATTCGTGTACAAGACAGTACCACCAACCTCGGACCAAAACTATTCCCTTAAAACCTGCATGCCCCTGCAGCCAAACAGACCGATCGATCAGCAACTCTTTTTCTTTTTCCTGCAAAAACTAAACGCGTAAAAGTACCGAGAACCAGGCAATTCGGAGTCTATTTGACACTAACTTCATTGAATTAAGGAAAAAGAGAACGAAATTAAAAAAAGATAATACCTTGAACAAGAGTAGTAGCGAGAAAAGGAAACTAAAGCTGATGGCTACAAAAGGGTCACAAGATGTGCTTGAAGAAGGAAAAATTTATCGGCATCAAGGAGAGAGAATGAACCCTAGACCCCCATATTGACGCTTTCCTTTATTTTCTTTTCGGCTTTGAGGTTTGAACGATGATGGGGCTTTTGTCAAGCAAAGCAATCTTCTTGGTCTTCCATTTTTAAATTTTACGAAGTATTCAACTTTTTATTGCACCGAGCGCATTTAAAAAAGAGGAAGAAGGAAAAGAAGTGAGATATGGATTTGGAATCTTGCGGGTGTCAGTGAATAGAGTGGGAAGGCAAGAAGTTAGGAGTCACAGCAGCAACAGGAAGATCCCGTCGGCGCGTAAGGTGAATCTCTGAACCAATCATGGCAACCTCGAATTTAATGGGTGGGAAGAACAGATAAGGGAAGTTACTACGTTTGTGCCGATTTGTTGGTTACCCGTTTTTTTGCAGCTGGGCTTTATTGTTATTATTTTATTGGTTGGTTTCTGTTTGGATTTCATTTTCAGATCAGTTTTTTTTCCTCCAATTGCACAACCTCTCGTCCATACCAATAATTATCCTCGGATTTTATTGAGAAAAAAAATAGATTTTAAAATTAGCAATAGAATATATAACTTTAGTGCAGTAATTTAGATTTTAGTTAAAAATTTGATGACAGGCATATGACGGTATAAATGACACATAATCTTATTATATAAGGTACAAGTTGTGGGTCAATGTTCCTTTTCTGGAAATCTAAAAGATGCTAATCGTTGTCATGGAGTAAATTGGGCCTCATAAGCCCACGTTCATTGGAGTCTTTGAGGCATTGTTCAGGACTCAAAAGTATTGCCAGGAAAAATCTTGCTCTCAACATTTCGAGATAATTCTTGTTGGCAACAAAGGGTGTTATTTATGCTCTATAAAAGTGAGTCCTTTAGAACCCCACATATTGTTTATTGAATCTCAGTATCTCAAGAAAAAAATCTCCGCTGTCGGCAGGAATCTTCTCCCTGTGCTCACAAATAAAAAGATTTGCCAAGAAAAATGGTCTACCCTCTAAGCATGTAAAGGCTTAGTGGATGATTTATAAATATTTCCTTTATTCTGATATAATTTATAATTTTTTTTATAAGTGCTTTAAAAATTATGAGGCTTGTCATGTTTCGAAAGTACATATTGAGTGTTGACAAGTGATTAGCCTAAATCTCAAAATTAGGAGGATTCAATATTTGTTGAATTTTGATGATAAATAATTTGCAATTAATATTTTTAAAAAAATTGAGATTTTTCAAAAAATTTGGTAAGCTTTTAAAATCCATAGCTTTTATTGAAAAAAAAAAAACTCGATGACCTGGCTTACTGGTAATGAGATATGTTGTTTATTATTTAAGAATATCGAGAATACTCAGTCCTTTTTTTCTGGGGGTGGGGTGTTGATGGAGTCCACAGCGTAGCTGATAATTAATGTTAAAATACGACGATCACTTGAAAAAGGGAGGCATCAATTCTCGGGAGTATCTTATGCGAGGTTCTTTGTTAATAGACGATTGATTTATTTATTTTTATAATTTATTATAATATATGATTTCTTTGTTAGAAATATCTTCTATTGGCTAGCTTCATTTTGAATATATGGAAGTTTTTTATATGAGGGGGAAGTAGCAGCTTCAACCTCCCTTATAATCTCAGACCATATTCTTTCTTGTTGCTCAGAACTCGCAAGAGATAAGCCCATATTCCCTTTATTCTCAGTTGGAAAATTATTATTAATAATAACTATAATATATTATAATTATAAATTGCAAAATTCTCAGAAGGAAAAACGCAACCTTTCTCATACACCGAACAAAGCCTAGTTCTTACGGCTCACATCCACCGCCGTTTCTTTGTGGTCCCATTGCTCCCTCCGTTTCATGTACAAGGCATTTTTTAGAAAAGGCTGTCGTGGTATTTTTAAATAAGTCTTGAATAAAAAAAAAAGAGATATTAATTGTATGTTTTATTTATCATCATCACGATACTAATTGATATTATTTGAAATAAATTTGAAAAATTACTATAATTTAGGAAATCAACTGAGAACGGAGCGAGGAAGCAGGGGTGTGCATCCCGAACATGGGCGCGCCATGTCGACTGTTTTTATTTTTTGTCAATACGTTCTAACGCGGGCAAGTACCGGTGGATATGGGGTTGGACACAGGACGCGACGTTTTGGCTCCTTTTTTTTTTTTCTCTCTCTCTCTATCAAAACGAGATGCCCTGCTTCGTCAAGTTCATTCCCAAATCCCTCATCGCCTGCTTCGCTCTGTCTCTGACGGTGAAATTCCAAGAGTTGGGACCCTGCTTCGCGTTCGGCATTTTCTACTCGTCTGAGTTCATTCCCAAAACAAAAAAACCAGATGACCTGCTTCGTCATCTGACCCTTCTCTGTCATACTTCTTCAATTACATTGCCTCCGCCTGAGCTAGTCAACCTGCGTTGCTCAGCCAGCTGATCTGCTTTGTCGACTTTGTCTCCTCTAGTCACCTTGAAACTGCTGTCAACTTCGTCCACTTCTTGCCTGCGTCCTTCGTCGTTCTCTTGATCTCTTACATCTTCCCTCTATTTCTTTCATTAGTTAATGGCATGCTCATAGAGTTACATACTTACAACCATGTTCTAAATTTATTACGATGGACAGATTAGGATAATATTTCGCTGAATTTACACACTCAGACCCATGTTTTAAATTTGCCTCTTTCATTGGTCTGCGGCATGCTCACAATCACACGTGTTTTTAGATAACTTCTGTCTTATTTTCTTTTCTTTCTTTTTATGTGAATATAAATTGATCTTTTTATCTTGAAAAAGATAATTTTTATAATTTCATTTGTTTTTTTTAAATTTTATTAGCGCTTCTCATATTAAAATTGCAGGAAATTGTATTGAAAATATATGTGTATCTAAATATTTAATATTTAATTATTTATATAATCAAATTTTATATCCTAAATATTTATTATTTAATTATTTATATAATCAAATTCATATCCTAAAATTTTTAAAATTGTCATGCCCGTGTGTCATGCCTTATTGCGGTACTTGTATTGGTGCTTCATAAGGATGGAGGGAGCAAGTCAAAGTGGCGAAGATTGGGAATAGTATATATGTGTTTTAATTTTGACTCCTATATTCTTAAATCCTAATTCCGCTCCAGCAAGTCACAAGGAAGCAAATTGGATAGAGCAATAAAAATTTTGACTCGTACCGGTCTGTGGCTTTCACTGCGAAGTTAAGCTATTATTAGGAACGAACCCAAAGCAGAGACAATGCAGCCATTTGCAAGAACAGTAGGATAAATCAAGAGTAGTAGGAAAGTGTTTGGGAACCGAAGTGTAAAAAAACATATATATTTTTTCATTTTACTCTTATCTTCTTTACAGAGAAAGGAGGGTAAATCAAAGAAAGCATCACAAAACCAAATATCACCCCCGACGAGCCAAAAATAAAAAACAAAAATCAAAACTTAGGAATGGAGTAACAGAAGGATTCATAGAGAAGTCAGTAGTAGCGACAAGTATGACCAAAACAGAAGAGAATCGGAAAAGGGACGATAACTCGTGGCGCTCAGAAAGAGAGCGAGTGTGTGTTTGTGTTAGGAACAAGAAGAAGAAGCGTCTAGAGCCAGAGAGCCCCGGCTTCCTTGAGGAGAGGGACGAGAGTGCCATTGATGTGGCAGGCCATGACTCTGTCCATCGTTCCGACGAGCTTGCCTCCGATGAAGACCACCGGCAGGACGGAGGAGCAGCCGAGAAGCCTCATCAAGGCCCTCTCGAGCTCCTTACCTCTGGGGTCCTCGTCCAGCTCGTACACCGTGGGGTTCACTCCCATGCCGCAGAAAAGCCTCTTGATGGCGTGGCACATGCAGCACGTGCTTACGCTGAATATCACCACCGCGTTCTCCGACGCCATTCTCTCTATCCTCTCCAGCGGGTCTCCCACCACCACCGTCGTCACGTAGCCCCCCCACGACGGCGCCGTCTGATAATGCATTTTATCTTTATACTAATGTCTCTATATGACGATGCTGCTCTTAGAAACGAGTGTGTCAAGCTAGCCTGCTGGGTGCAGAGAAGCCGAGTGAGAGCTGGTATTTATAGAGGTTTAAGCGCATTGAGAGGATAATGTTTCTATATATTTTAAATATAAAGTTGGTCTATTCTTTCCCTTCTTTACCCTTTAGTAGTCGTCAGCTTATATGAGAGAGAGAGAGAGAGAGGGGACTTTATGTGGTTTTTTTTTCCTGGTTTATTATTGTTGGGTTTGGCTAATAATAAGTGAGGAGGTTGTTAGATTAGGCTAGGAACAGGCAATTTTTTGGGCAATGATTATGTTGGGGGGAAGGGAAATGTGAATAATTGTGAGAGAAGATACTAACAAGCATTAACAATATTGTTAGGAGAAAAGAGAGAGCAGTTAAGTTGAAGGAATTAAGAGAGAAACAGAGAGGGCAGGCTTTTGCAGGAGGTTGGGTTAGAACCTGCTTCCTCTTCGTCGTCCTCGTTGGTCCTACCCCATCATCTTCTTCTTTTTCCTTTTCTTCTGCAATCTAATTGTTGGACGTCACCTTCTTCTTTTGGATACTTGAGGCTTGGCCAGTTATAGTGTATTAGTTAACTTCACAACTTCCATGAATAGGGGGAAAAAAGTGTCACCTTCTTCCAAAATTGAACAAGGCAGCTTCTAGAATTCAGAATTTGGAAACTTGAAAGCTCGTACATGGTATAAATGCCTGAATAATAATTAATGTATAGTATGGATTAGGTACGGCTTCTGTTCAGTAATCTTTTATCGAGGATAATCTATATATACTATATCTACATCAATCACAGCATCTTCCTCAGGCATATATTGAGGAATATAACAATCAAAAAGAACGCCAAAGAGATCTCGAGTTATAATTAGCACATGTCTATCTCATCACTTAATAAATTCATATATATACTTCCATCCTCGTTGATACTTTGATCCATTAACCACCCTCTCACACATCTCCCGTTTTTTCTTGATAACGTGGGGAATATCGAGCATCATTCGGTCACATGTAGACGGCCAAAAATAGCTTCACGCATTAGTCAATGAAATTGAAATTCAATGGAGACATATAATGCATGTGCCTGCATATACGCGTACAAAATTAATGTCCCATGATCATTTCCGAGCACGATATGGCCCCAAAAAGGAATATAATTTTTTTTGTAGATGAACCAAACAAGTTGCAAGGTGCATGGTTGTGTGTGTGTGTGTGTGTGTGTGTGTGTGTGTGTGTGTGTGTGAGGATCGTAAAGTCGTGCTGAAAAGAAGCAAGGTATAAAAATATTATTGTGGAGTAGACTGTATATATTTGATAAACTAATTAAATGCCCATGCCTACAATTAATTAGTGAATGGA